CACCTGGACACAACTCGACAACATCTAGTCCTCCAACTACAACCACACCGAAATCAACACCCACTATGGGGGGAAACGAAACAACAACACCACCTGAACACAGCTCGACAACATCCAGTCCTCCAACTACAACCACACCGAAATCAACACCCACTATGGGCGGAAAGGAAACAACCTCATCTGAACACCACTCGACAACATCCAGTCCTCCAGTTACAAGCAAACATACATCCCCACACTCCACATTGGGGGCCACCCCACCAACCACTCTGGCCAGTACAACAAAACCCATCGTCATAATCATTTTTTACGTCAATTTCCACATCATGAATAGAGAATTCAATTCCAGCTTAGAAGACCCCAAAAGCAGTTATTATAAAGAACTAGAAAGTGCCATAAGGAAGATGGTGAGTGTTGCATGGCCGGGAAAATCCCTTCTGTCAGCCGGACCTTTTCTACACCATGATTTTTTGGGTTGGGTTGGAAGGGGGAAAACACCGCGACGGCCATCTTTCAGAGACGCCGATTCAGATTGTTTCGAATGTTCTAGAATGTAGTTCGGCTGAAAAAAGGGGAAATCGTTCGTTTCTATCTCTGCCTTGGTAGCTATAGTTTAACGCGTGGGTGTGTTTGCGCGTGTTTTTAAGGCCGGTGGACTTCAACTCCCAGAATTCCCCCAGCTAGGCTCCACCCACCATCATGCTACATGGAATTCTGGGAGTTGAAGTCCTCCCCCGGTCTTAATAGTTGCCAAGTTTGAAAAGTCCTGCTGTAACCTAAGCAAAATCTCACGAAAGATGGCGTCGTCGGTGAAGGGCGCTAATTTTAAACGATGGTAACTGAAACCCGGCTGGGGAATTCTGGGAGTTGAAGTCCCCCAGTCTTAACAGTGGCCAAGTGTTAAAATATAGGTACCTGTATTAAAATACAGGTACCCAGGCAGATTTACAAACAGCAACCGCTCTTTTCAGCAGAACTAAATGCACGAACCCTTTGCTAGTAGCAACTGAAGAGCTACAAATGTACTTTTTTTCCACCCCAGAGATTATTTCCAAACTGGAATTTGAACAGATTGCGTTTTTTTTTTTTCCAGATTCATTCAGGTCTTGTTTGGCCTCCAAATTCTTCCTGCCTTCCCCAACCCTCTCCGTTCACCCAGCCTAAAATGGTACCCTTAGGTCACTAAACTGTGATAACAGCCTGTAGATTTGAAGAGAGGCAATCTGGGTCAGGTTTCTAGTCCTCATTGCTCCAAAAATTAGTTTTGGATAAAGTAGGAAGGTTAAGGCTCCCAAAGGGAAAAGCGGCCTATTGATACACTCATTTCTGGGTGGCAAACGGACCTGGAGTGCAGAAGATAATTTACAGATTAACAGAGTTGGAAGGGACCTTGTAGGTCATCTAGTCCAACCCCCCTCCCCCACCCGCCCAAGCAGGAGACCTTACACCATTTCTGACAAACGGCAGTCCAATCTCTTATTGGTATTCTCAACTTTGCAAAAAAAAAAAAATGTGCACAACTTTGTATATTTTTCACACGGGTTGAGTTTTGGGATATCATCCCAACGGAGGGAGAGAAACCGTCTAAGTTAGTGTATCTTGAAGTTGGCAATTTTAAGAGGTGTGGACTTCAACAATCTATTCTCCACTCAGTTCTGGGAATTGACGGACATACAACTTAAAGTTGCCAAGAAACACTAAATCATGATTTAAAAGTGGTGGAAAATTAGCAAAGCAGTTATATTTTGAATGCCAAGACACTATATCTGTTTCTAACCCAACTTTTTTTTTCTTTCTTTCTTTTTCTTTCTTTCTTTCTTTCTTTCTTTCTTTCTTTCTTTCTTTCTTTCTTTCTTTCTTTCTTTCTTCTCTTTTTCCTTCCTTCCTTCCTTTTTTTCTTTCCCCCTCCCTCTTCCTTCCTTTCTTCATCTTTCTTTCTTTCTTCCTTCCTTCCTTCCTTCCTTCCTTCCTTCCTTCCTTCCTTCCTTTCTTTCTCTTTCACCATTCCTCTCCCTCCCTTTCTTTTTTCTTCCTTCCTTCTTCCTCCCTCTTCCTCCTTGCTTCCTCTTTGCCCCCTCCCTCCACCTTCCTTCCTCCCTCCCTCCTTTTTTGCCCTTTCCTTTCCTTTCCTTTCCTTTCCTTTCCTTTCCTTTCCTTTCCTTTCCTTTCCTTTCCTTCTTCCCTCCTTCTTTATTTTCTTTTCTTTCCACAGTACAGAAACGTGTACAAAGAACTCGGTTATAGAGGCTTCCGGATAATCTCATTCAGGTATGGAAAAAAAATTAAACAGAAATCCTCAAAATTCAGCGGTTGCAGATCAAAGGCAGCTGCAAACTTAAGCAGCCGGGGCACCGCAATCCCACTGAGGAGTTCTGGTTATGTATTAGAACTCTGCTCCGTGCAAGGAAACAGAAGAAAGAAAAAAGGAAAGAAAGAAAAGAAGGAAGGAAGGAAGGAAGGAAGGTGGGAAGGAGGGAGGGAGGGAGGGGAGGAGGGAGGATGGAAGTCTGTGTCCATTTAGACAAGGTGAAGATACAGTGAAACTGTTGTGATGAGGGCAGAATTTTGCTTCCTTAGTTTTTCTCTTTCCTCTTTTTCTTGCATTTTCTATTTTTGTTTTTAATTTATATTTCCTTTTTTCTTCTTTGCTTTCTTTCACCTCTTATTCGGTTTTTCTTTTTCTTCCTAGTTTGTACTATCTCTGTTTTTCCTTTCTGTTTTGCTTTCTTTCACCTTTCAGTCTCTCTGTTTGTCTTTCCTTTTTCCTTTTTCTCCTTCCTTGCTCCTCCTATCTTTTTTCCCCCCTCTTCTTTCCCTTTTTCTTTCTTTCTTTCTTGCACCTTTTAGTCGTCGTCCCCCGTTTTCTTTTCTTCGGGCGTTCTTTCTCTTTTTCCCTTCTTCGCTTCCTCGCCACTTTTATTCCATGTTTTATTTTCCATTTTAGTTTGCCTTCTCTTTTGCTATCGTAGCTAAAACCCTGAGCTAAAATATATTATTTTTTAAGAGAAAGAGAAGGCGGTTGGCTCTACCCCTCGTCTGTTGCTTATTTAATTCTTTTTTTAAAAAAAAATATGTAGTGAAGTATTTGTTCTATTCTTACGGTCAACGATTCAGAATAAATGGCTTATTGGTGTGAATGTCTTAACTTTCTTTTCTTTTAAACCAACAGCCAAGGTTCTGTGGCAGTGGAGTCAGAGTTATATTTGGGAGGAGAAAGTAGTAAAACCCAAAGCCAGATTGCGGATGCTTTGAACAATGCGGACAACGCCACCACGGGAGGGCTAGAGTTGGGCCAAGTGAAAGGTAAGGATAACGTTAGTCAAAGGAGGATGGCATGGGGAATTTAAACAAAACATACAAGTTGTCCTGGGCGCAGTGCGTTGGCCTAGAGGTGGAGGCTGTGAGTTTGATCCTAGATATTTCTCTCTCTGGGCACAATGAGAATATAATGTGCTGAACAAAACTCCGCATTGGCGATAGGAAAGGCATTCGGCCAGAATAGAATAGAATAAGGAATAGAAAAGAAAAGAAAATAGAACAGAATAGAAAATAGAATAGAATAGAAAATAGAATAGAATAGAATAAGGAAGAGAATAGAGTAAGGAATAGAACAGAATAGAACAGAATAGAAAATGAAATAGAAAATAGAATAGAAAATAGAACAGAATAGAAAATAGAATAGAATAAGGAATAGAGTAGAATAGAGTAAGGAATAGAATAGAATAGAATAGAATAGAATAGAATAGAATAGAATAGAATAGAATAGAATAGAATAGAAAATAGAACAGAATAGAAAATAGAATAGAATAGAAAACAGAATAGAATAGAATAAGGAATAGAATAGAGTAAGGAATAGAACAGAATAGAATAGAATAGAATAGAGTAAGGAATAGAATAGAATAGAATAGAATAGAATAGAATAGAATAGAATATAAAACAGAATAGAAAATAGAATAGAATAGGAATAGAATAGAAAATAGAATAGAAAATAGAATAAGGAATAGTATAGAATAAGGAATAGAATAGAATATGGAATAGAATAGAATAAGGAATAGAATAAAAATAGAGGATAGAATAGAATAGAAAACAAAAGAAAATAGAAAAGAAAACAGAACAGAATAGAAAATAGAACAGAATAGAAAATAAAATAGAGTTGGAAGGGACCTCGGAGGTCATCTAGTCCAACCCCCTGCTCAGGCAGGAAACCCTCTACCATTTCAGACAAGCGGTTGTCCAATCTCTCCTTCAAAACCTCCAGTGTCGGAGCATTCACAACTTCGGGAGGTTATCGGATCACTCAAAAAAAAACCCACCGCATGAGAACCATAATTCTGTTTTTCTCGTCTTCTTCCTGCACAATTTCCACCCCAAACCTAATTTTTTTCTCCCCGCTTTCCTTTCTTCTTCACAGTTAGTAGCAACTCCATCAACACCTCCTCGGAGACGGTGCCGGGCTGGGGCATCGCTCTTCTCGTCCTTGTCAGCATCCTTGTATTTTGCCTGCTCCTCGCTTTATTGTGGCTGGTAAGTCCCTGGTTTTTTTTTTTTGGGGGGGGGGGGCTGGAATCCCTAACCTGCAACGGTCGTTAAGTGTGGAAAACATCCCTAAATCTATGTGGTTGCAACTTCCATCACTAAACGTACGGCGAGGCCTACCTTACAACCGCGATTTGAGCCCATCGTGTCTGTGGGTGTGAGCGAGGCATTGGTCTGTCTTAACGACCTTGCTTGCCACAAAGCGAATCACAGCAGTGGATAAGGGAGTCACACCCGGTCGTTAAGTGAAACCGGCTTCCTCCTTGGTCGCAAAAAGGGGATCGCGCGACACACAAACACACACCCCGGGGATGCTGCGTAAATGTGAGTCGTCTGCCAAGCGCCCGAATTTTGCCGCAAAGACGCCACCAAGGTCATAACTGTGAAAAAAACGGTTGTAAGTCAGCGGGGGGGGGTTTCAGCGCCGTTGTAACTTCAAGCGGTCACTAAATGAACTGTTGTAAGTCCAGGATGACCCGTAGTTATTTTCAGAAATGCCAGGCCATTCGCGATCACCCCCCACATTCACTGTTATTTTCTCCTCCGCTTTATCGTAGCTCGTCTACTACGGTCGACGGAATCACCGGGGCAGCATGGAACTGCTGAATAGCCAGGATTCGTACCACCCCATGAACGAGTACCCCACGTACCAGACCCACAGCCGCTTCGCGGCTCCCACCAGCAAGCAAAACCCTTACAACGAGGTGAGGGCCGCGCGTAACCCCAAACCAGAAGCCGTAAGCGGAAACTGAAACTCAAACCATGCTCTTTCGGTCTTCGGATTAGAAACTATCTGCCGAACAAAACTCCTCATCGGCAACAGGAGAAGCATCCGGCCAGTAAAAACATTCCGCTAGTTCCATTCAGTTGCCCAGATTCCATCCCAATGCAAGGGGATTATGGGATCGTTAAATGACGATGACGACTAGGGGTGCCCCGTCTTGGGTCCCGCCTCCTCCACCTTGAGATGGGGCGGAGGGTCCGTCCTCCGACCGGTGGGAAAGGCACACAGGTCAAGGCGGGAACTAGACGTGGACAGGACCGTGGCAAGGCTGGGTGTTGGAAAGCAAAATGGCCGGAATCAAGGATGTGGAAATGAAAAGAGAAAGGAAAGCAGAGTTAGGGTTTACAGTAACTGTCAATGGGCTAGAAAAACTTTCTTTTCTTTCTTTTTCTTTCTCTTCCTTCCTCCTTCTCTCCCTCTTTTCTTTCCCCTTCCTTTCTTTCATCTGTCATTCTTTCTCTCTTCTTTCTCTTTTTTCTTTCTCTTTTTCCTTCTCTTTCCTAACTTTCCCTTCTTTTTTCTTTCCTTCTTTAACTAATTTGATTTGTCTTTTTCTTTCTTTCTTTCTTTCTTTCTTTCTTTCTTTCTTTCTTTCTTT